GGCCAATTTGGCCTTTTCTTCCAAGTGACCACGAAACTGCACGTCACTCAATATGTCGACGCCCAGGATTCCGATACTGGCTGAGGCAACAAGGGGAGTAACTTGAAACTGAGGAGATACGACAAAGGGGTTCTTTTTAGCGGTAAACGCGCAAACTTGTGTCTTCTGAGGATTAAACTGGACTAGATTTAGTCGCCCCCAATCCGAGACTTTGTCCAGCAAAGACTCGACTTCAGACACAAGTTTGTTCCGGTACTCGGTGACGTTTTCCCGAGAAATATTGGCACGGCCGGTGTATAGAGCATCACCAGTGCTGTCATCCGCATAGCAATGAATGCTACCGGTTTGCAACATATCATTGATATGCAGAAGAAACAGCGTTGGTGATAGCACGGAGCCTTGTGGAACACCAGCGTTAATAGGCTTGTAGTCGGAGCATGCACCGTCTACAATGACCTTGATGCTCCGATCTGCAAGAAAGCTGGTGATCCAATTGCATAATTTCTCGGGAAGCCCATAGGTAGGGTGCTTCGAAAGAAGTGCTTTGTGCCAAACCCGATCGAAGGCCTTCGCAATGTCCAAACTAACGGCCAATGCCTCCCCCTTGGACTCTACTGCCTCCGCCCATCTATGAGTTAAGTAGGCCAGAAGATCACCAGCTGATCGACCCCGACGAAAACCGTATTGGCGGTCACTACTCAGCTCATGATCCTCAAGGTACCGCATGAGGTGGCAGTTTATAACGGATTCCATTATTTTGGAGAACAAGGGGGTGATGGCGATAGGCCTGTAGTTGGACGGGTCTGAGCTGTCGCCTTTATTAGGGATCGGGTGGACAAAAGCTGTCTTCCATGATTTCGGGACTACGCCTAGGGAGTAGGAGTACCGGAAAAGACGCGTTAGAACCGGTGCCAACTCCGGAGCACACGTCCTCAGCACAATTGGGGGGATTCCGTCAGGCCCACTCGACTCGTGGATGTCCATGGAGAGGAGTGCTCTGCAAACCGAGGGCTGTGAGAACCGCACATCCAGCATGGAGCACTCACACCGCGGGATTGTCGGCGGTGTGTTCCCCCCGTCATCAACAGTCGAGTTGGACGCAAAAAGGGAGCCGAAAAGGTCGGCTTTATCTTTTGCGTCGTGGGCCAGTGAGTCGTCCACCCTGTGCAGAGATGGTATTGATGGCTTACAGAAATTCCCTTGGACAGCCTTGTCAAGAGACCAGAATGCACGGGTTCACGAAGGAAGGCGAACTAGTTTCTCGCCAATTCTGCCTATGTGCTCTGACTTTGCCTTGGCAATAACTCTTTTGAAGGACCTGGAGGCGAAGTTATACTTCTTTTTTAGTATGCTGGTGTTTACATCCCGAGTCGCCGAAGCCGCAGCCCGGGCTTGTTAACACTCCTGCTTACTGCGTAATGCAGTCTTACAGGAGCGACCAAACCAAGGCTGAGATCTGCCTCCGATGGGTACCACAGATGATGGAATAAATAGTTCCATTCCCTGTGGCACCACATCAGTGACAGAGTCAGCAACAGCGCTGGGATCATCCGGCGTGAAGCAAACCCGCCCCCATGGGTAGGAAGCAAAGGAAGACTGCATTCCGTCCCAATCCGCCGATCTGTAATGCCAAACACGGCAGCAATCTGCAGAACGCAGCCGCGAGGGGAGCTTGAGTGGCACCACACTCCGGATCAGACAATGGTCTAAAAAGCCAAGAGGGGCATCGACGGAAACCTGATATCCGAGAGGTCCGCAGAAGGTCCAACAGGGAAGGTGTATGATCCTCAACATCTGGAATCCGCGTAGGCGATGTAACCAGTTGTGTCAGACCATATATATGCCAAGGCAAAGTCATAAACAGATCTCCCCGCATGATCGGTTAAACGTGAACCGAGCCATTCGGCGTGGTGGGCGTTAAAATCGCCAAGGATCACGATCTCTGCGGATGGGACCTGTTGTAGCAAGGAATCTGTAGCCATTTGGACGTGGTCGATGAGTCGGTATGTTTCGGCATTACCGCTACTGGATCTATAGAGGCACACATAGACGCGCGAATGTTCGTCGCTGTCTAAGCGTAGCCAAAGGATGGACAGGTCCGAACCTTCAAGACTGCCGAGGCGTCGAGTACGGGTGGCCTCTCTGACATACACGCAAACTCCAGCCCGAAGCACAAAGGAGTACTCCAATTTGTACCCCGGGTAGGAGAGATACGAAGTATCAGCCGAAGTGGACACCTGCGTCTCGGTCAGAAAGAGCAAGGCCGGCTTCGCCGTCTCGAGATGGTAGTGAACGGCGTTTAGGTTCGAGTGAAGTCCCCTGATGTTGCAGAAATTCACGGATAGCGTGGCAGGGGTCGCCTTGGTCTTGTTGCTCAGTTTGCCCCGAGCAGTTATTTTGCCCCCCCCCCCCCCTCCCCCCAGAATACGCAGGGCAGCCTGAGCACCTACGCTCAGGAGTGGAATAGCATGGTCGTGGATGCTCAGCGAGGGATTCTCCAGGGGTGCTGGTACCCTCCTGGGGTAGTTTATGATGTAATACCGCTACCATATTGATGGGGGGGGGGATGAATTGGGCCTCCGTTCACCTGCACTCACCAGACGAAACGCGGAAGCAGAGCTTCCACTTCACGCCGGTATTCTGTGTTGCACGTATGGGCTCGAGCCGGCCCATACGTGCAACAGCAAAAGGTGCTGCGTGGCTCTACCACCGTTAAAACCTCTCAGTATATCGCCGAATCCACTTCTCCCAAGCAGGGATTCTCTGATTCAGGTTGTCTATGCGCTCCGTCAGTTTTTGCGGCTGGGACAAACCGATATTTGTCCCAGCAAACGCCATCCTGACGGTGCACAAAATTCTCGGTCTATTATTGCCCGACCTGAAGCTTATCAGTCTGCCGATGAAGGCCCTTGCCTTTGCAATACGGTCCTCAATCCTTCTTTTCCAGGCTCAGATAGCTTAACTTTGTCCAGTAACACGTCCAGACGTTGGAAGTTTGGCACCAGCAATGCGGCAAACTGCCAAAGCAGCGCCAAAGAGCATTGAGTCCGTATCACAAAGGTCCCGGCTAGTGCCCAGCAATGGGCCTTCACGACATCCCGATTCCGCTTGCTTAGGGTTATGCACAATCGCCTCCTCCAATTTACTCCTCATCTGCTCTAGTTCATGGGTGACCATTCCGTCATCGCCTGAATCAACCAGAGCGGGTAGATCCATGGCTGCTTCGACATGTGGCTGCTGGTCTGTGGCCTGAGGAGCGGCATCCCCAGCTATAGCCGGTTCATTCGATGAGGGAATAGTCTCTCGCCGTAGACGTTCGAGTTCGGCATCGTCAAATATATTCGAGCACATAATGTACCGAACTCGGTCTGCCAGGTTTTGTTCTGTGACGGGAACAGACGACTCCAGCTCATCAAAGAGGCGATGCATCCGAGCCCAATATGCTATCCCTCTAGTTTCTTCTTATTAGATATTTGTGTTTGATTAATAATACGCCCTTACTGCGTTTGCATTCATTACTTCAGTTCAACGCATGCGACATGCTTCACCAGCGGCGGGTGCCTCTTGCCGAGTCTGAAGGGACCCTGCCAGCACCAAGCAATCTGGTGGGGATGACGGATGAGAGGGGCTGCTAGGTGGTCGTGCAGCACGTCACGCTCGGCTGGCGGCCCGCATGCTGTCACGTCCAGCACCAGTTCCAGACGCGCCCGCGCCCAGGCAGCATCCCTTTACGCTTTTTTTGGTTATCCATCAAGGTATAATATGGGCGTCAGTAAATGGGAGAAGCCCAGGTCTGGCACGTTTCATGCTTTGGCCGTAAGCACAAATGGGCCCAAATTTGCACCCTGAATTCTGCCAAGACATGGCGTTCACACCTCTTGCCAAGGCGCTGACTGATTGCACCGATGTAGCAGTTTGGTCACTTATCTTTTATGTCGTCATGGGCTCGTCGATTCCCTATGCCATTTTATTCAGAAACAGAAACAGAAATTTTTTTATTCAACATAGATTATAAATAATACTTATTGAAAGTCACTCTTTTGTTTAATTACCACTGGTTTGAAAAGAAACCTCTGTCCTGGGAAGAACCAGCAAGAAACCCAGCAGGACTTTTTTTTAAAATAACAGCTGACAATCATGTATGTTACACAAATTAACAACACAACTAATTAGAAATAGCTTAATAGGGATCACCTAGTTTCCAGGGGTTATTATCATCCATAAATTCTTTAATATTATAATAACCCTATCATACAAACTTAGTTTAATAAAGTTTTTGAACTTTGAGCAGGTCAAATATTTTATGGATATATTATATATTTGGATATATATATATTTTCTGGAATTTTGTTGTAAAAGCATATACATCGCCCCAAGAATGAATTACTGACTCGATGGAGTCGAGTAACTGGTACTAATAGCTTGTGTCTGTTCAATCTATTAATTACCCTTTCTAACAGTTCCTACATCATATTACAGGTAACAATTTTACACTCACATTAACACACTCATATTCCACATACACAACTGACTCAATCAAATTGGCTATGTCAGATGATAGTAACTGTGGTACACTATCCTACTAAATCAACTCCAATACAAGATGTCTTGGAATCTAAGCCTCGGCTTACAAATAAGGAATTTCAATATAAATAGGTATTTATTCTTTATTATATATCAAAATTAAGAGTTAAGTAAAAATACAGCCACTATTGGACACAGAGCTTCCCTCATTACTGACAGCTATGGAGAAATTAGTCTGGCATGTTGCTCCCAATGCTTATTAGCGAACTTCACACAAACTCGTAACATTTCATTTTTCAGACATGCAGTTTTCCTCAATTTCAATTTCCTCAGTTCATCCTTCACTACCAACCGTGTAGTAAATCAGTGATGATCAAACTCTTTTGGTTGCATACAGTGAAATTCATAGTAAGTGTTTGGCCCCTGAGCTACCACAGCTCTATCAAAGGTAATAAATAATAAATATGTATGTTTACCTTTATATACATGGATATTCCTTACACAATGTATTTTAATACTTTTTACAAGTTTCACATTAATGGTGTCCATGTGATCCAGCCACAGAAGGGAATTGAAGTACACACCTCGCCAGTTAAGTGTGGACTTCTCTTTCAAAGTAATACCCTTATTGTACATGCCAAGTTCTGCTAGTTTTTGCCATAAAGCACCACCTTGACTCTAAAAACGAAATTATATGATGAGTTTGATAAATATAAATTGCAAATATGGTATACTTAAACTCTGAGCTTGGATCTAAATTATTATCTAGTAGCTATACCTGCCCCATAAAATCAACAACATCTCTCCACAACTTGCACACAGACAAACATGTTAACAAGGTCTTATAATCTAATCGTTTAAAAATTAAAATAATGATATCTGGTGAACATGTAGACCAAGGTGAATATTTTTTTTCATTGTAAATAGTATAATCCATTGTATTAATAGAAAAAACGATCTGTTCTCTGTTACTGAAAACGTAAAAACATTATTGCTTTTAATTCCTAACCTATCACTGTCACTATCACGACAAATCGACAAACAAAAACAAACTAGGGATGTTCGATGATCATCGATGTTAAAAATTAAAACCTTGATGTTTTAACATGAACGCATCACTAGCCTAAAAAAATATCATTATGGTGTGTCAAACTTAATTGTTAAGTGTCACCTGTAATGTCACAGTGGTTACTGCTTTCGCTTTATTTTGTAGTATTGTTGTCGGTTGTCGCATAATTACTATTTAACGCAAATTGATATTCAAGTTAATTGTTATGTTTCCCTTGCTGTGTATACCCACATAATTTAATTTTGAAATAATATGTATCTACACATATACAAAAAACATCGATAATGATCAACATCGATGTTTTGAGTAGTCTAAACATCGAACATCGATGTTGAGCTATCGATGCCAACATCGATGTCATCATCGATGTTTCTGCAACATCGATCATCCCTAAAACAAACCTGTTTGTTGACAATTGAACATTTACATTTACTGATTTCAACAAAACACCAAATCGAAATATCGATACTTTTAAATATAAATATCGATATTTTAAATCGTGATATTCCGATATAATGACAAAACATGTAACAACAAAAGGAGGTACAAAACTATTCATGTGTGGTTGGTTGTATTTTTTTTCTTCGTCCAACCAGCAGTAGTATAAAATTTTGTACCTTTTCTTAATCATGTAAATGATGACGATATATAGATATTTACCACGCGATATACTGTATAAAAATATCGATATTTTTTTCCCTTGCCCATCCCCACTCTGTGGTACAAAACAAACAGTCAAAGAGCTAGCTATATTGGGAGTTTTGGCGGGAACTTGACCAGCGGCGGTTTGCTGCTCCTATATTATTGTTTAAATAATGGTTTGAAGTGGACTTTAATATGTAAAAGTGGTGCGATTTTGTGTATTAATTGTCTACGCATGTGAACTATTAGTAGAAACAGTTAAACAAGTGCTCTGATGGTAATGGATTCTCAAGATAAGCTGTTTGTTTGCATAGGCGCCTTTAGATACCATCGCCAACTGTCAGCTGTCTGCTGGATCAAGTTGCCGTCAAAATCTCCCAAGAACTGCACAATGTGACGCATCAACATATTGTGAAGCAGTGAACCATGAAGGATAATTACAAAAGACAAGGCTGTATGGCATAGTTCCTTTGCCTGCTCTCTCGAGCGAATAATAAAAACAACAAGCTAGCTATATTGTCCATGATTGTCCATCTGTCACGTAGACAGAGAATCTAATTGGATTCTCTGTACCCCCCCCCCCCCCTTTCACAGCCTAAGAAATTTGAGTATTAGTACTGACAGACGTAGTTCAAAAGTACATCTCAAAAATATTAACTACTTAAACTGCACCTATGTAGCTTATAAATAAAAAATTCTTAAAGATTGCTCACCTTATAACGTCAATATTAGTTATAATAATTAGAATTGGGTACTTTTTGTCTTATGAAAAACTGAGCCTTGCTTGAATATAATTGCACCATGGATAAAAATGCGTAAAATGCAATAATCAGTGGAAAAAGTTAATAAAACCAACGGAGATGTATAAAATTGGGTGCTTGGCATCGTTCGTAACAGTTATACAAAAATATGTAGGTAATATAACGATAAATTAATGGCTTTTATTTCTGCGATGTATGGGACAATCATAAAAACATCTTTTAAAACTAAAAAACGAAAGCTAATGCTTTTACCATAGCAAAACGTTTTTAAATATTTTTATGTATTCTATGTATGGAGTGTAGAGAGGAGGACCATCTCTATATTATGAAAAGTGTCCCTAAAACGTGTCCAATAAGGGTGGCGCTGCAGTAGCATAGGATAAATTAAAAAAAAAGCTCCAAAAGTAATTAGAGTAAGATGGAGAAATAAATAAGGACCGACCAATCCGCTTGGTTTTGTACTACGTAAATAGTCATGAAATCGTCATGAAATTTTTGAAATATTTGAATTCAGCTGACTTCACTCGTATCGTACTTCATATCGTAGTTTTTCAGACGCCAGCGCTATTGTGGTAGGTTTTGGAACCTCTATTTTCAGTAAATAGTAGGACACTTTTTCAACTTTCGCCCCTTATAAGATGGTTCTCCTTGTACTCTACCCTCCATAATTCTATGGAGCCCTTATTGGACAAGTTTTTAGGGACACTTTTCATTATATAGAGATGGTTCCTTGTACTCTACACTAAATGGCTGCCCGATTATAATTCTGAAAAGGCTGACTTCATCGCTTTTCGTTTGTTCGTAAAAATTATAAATGTTTGCAATAATAAACATAATCGTATGTAAGTTTAGCTGATTGTAAACAGTTCCCTAAAGTTTCTTGCCGGTTCTTTTTTAGGGTTACAGACTCTGAACGGGATGAAAAAATATTTACTTAGAATCCTTTAGTTTTCAAGCATGCGTTACCAAACCGAAAACTGTAAAGATGTACAACAATTTTCCTGGTGCTGTTTCAATTATTTGTTTTATTTAAATAATATTCACATAAATATTTTTTATTATTTCTGTTGTTTCATTCGAAATTGAATACATATCTGTGTATATATTATTATCTACCGAATTTCTTATCAGTATTATCTACCGATAAAAAAATCGGTAGATAATAATATGATATTTTATTATCTACCGATTTTTTTAGATATGATAGACTATGCGATTTAAAATATAATAAAAAAATCGTTTTATTTTTCAATTTAGTACATTAACCTTTTAATATATATCTTAGGAAGTTAATGAACTACTATTAATCTAATGTGATATATCTTAGAAGTTTAATGAATTGCTTACATATTTTTGAAACACTGTGTATTGATTCTACCTATAATTTGTAAACAGAATTTACTTTTCCCAAAAATCAAGAAAATAAAAATAAGGAATCATCGGCAACACTAACCTTAAACTAATGCTTAGGTATACGGCAAGGACTACTCTATTGTACATACTCCCTCTACGCTTAAGGCTATTTATTACAAAAAAATAGCCTTCATTATCTAATGCCATAGACAGAATACATGCACTGTGACAAAATGACATTTATGAGCACGTCAGACAGACGGGCCAGCAAACGTCTGAGAAGATGAAAACACGGTATGACCGCAAAATGAACAACAAGGGGTTTGATGAAGGTTCACTAGTGTGGTTACACAATCCAGTTCGCAGCAAAGGGAAATCTCCTAAGCTTCAAGCTAAATGGGACGGACCGTACCGGATTGTGACAAGGATCAATGACGTAACCTACCGGATACAGAAAGGTGCCAGAGGTACTCCTAAGATTGTCCATGTGGATCGACTGGCGCATTATTATGGGGCCAATAATGGTCGGGACGAGCATATCTTAGGAGGGGGCAGTGTTGCGCGCCACTATTAATGTCTTGTACATGGCAACACTAGTTACACTAGCGCCCTCTAGTGTCGAGTAAAAGGAAGTGTTGCGCGCCACTATTAATGTTTTGTACATGGCAACACTAGTTACACTAGCGCCCTCTAGTGTCGAGTAGCAGAACTAGGAGAGTCGAGATCCTTCCAGAAATTTCGGGACCGATATGTACTCGAACATTCTAGATGTCGCTACAGTAGTAGGTTCTAGAAAATATCTGAGGCTCTATATAAGGCTTTTATAGACCACGACCGGGGGAGTATTGAATTGGCGATACAAGAGAACACTTCGAAGCGAAATAACGGCGAACTGTGTTTTATTATTAGTGTGATTTTAGATTGTAATTAGTGTTGTGTAATTAAAGTGTCAATTTTGGTAATTCAATCGGCAGTTTTAAATTGTCTCGAACCCCAAGCTCGTAACATTGTATTAGTACCATCATTATCGTGTTTATTTTATTCCATTTTATATTCTCATAAAATACATCTTCGTATGTAATACGTAATCTTTATTATATCGATTATTTAAAATTAATCAATAAAATAGTGATTTGCACAATTTGATTGCAAACGCCAGAAATTGGTATCACTGAATGGCGTGTATGTGTGCGTGTGACGAGCGTAGGCACATTCGGCTCGCACCTACAACATAATGACCTTGCGTCACTTTAACGCTCGTGTTTTGTACTAGACTGCGTCTCTACTGGGTAATAATTCTATGAGACTTACGATAATGCGTCAAATATGTCTGGGGGTCAAGCATAGACTTAGAATATAGGTACTGGCGTATAGACCGCCTTCCTGTATATACTTATTATACTCTTTGAGACCGCCTGACAGCCCGAAAACGCGTGACCAATTTTGATTAGTTATTGTGTGCGTTAGCTACTGATGTATATTTTACTTACAAGGACTATCGAAAATGATTGTTAAGGAAGCGATAAAAAGATTTAAAAAAAGTGTTTAGTGCATGAAGTTGAATAACTTCAAAAATTAACTGAATTTTACCATAATAGTTCTAAAATAATTAAAAAGTATTCATGTAACATTTTCCTGGGAACAAACTGAACCTACCTGCCTTTTGTTGGATTTCAATTAAAATGTATAAAATCCCAGGTAAATTTACCGATAAACTTAAAAAAACTCCCCAATAATCAGATCGGTAAGTTGTATTTTCGAGCTATGATCTTTGGGGAAAAATATTTACTGCCGTGGGCAGTTTCCCCGGGATTTCTTTTTTAACATACTAGTATTGTTAATATAAATAGGTACATACTTAGCTAAGCATATACTTATTTATATTTTATAATGTTTTGATGGAGAAATAAAAACGTGGACACGGAGTACATAACGGCTGTTTTATTTTTCATATAAGTATTACTTGTAGTAATTATAAACATTTAATAATTAAATACATTATAGAACTTTATTTTAACATTCGACTTAAGTATAAATGTAAACTTAATAATTCAAGGAAGGAAACTTGTAGGAATCAGTTAAATAAGATTACTCTGCTTAAAGGCCAATATGTTTATGAGGCTTCATCATGCTTCATGTTTATATTCTTTCATCTGTCCCCGAAAAGTATAAAGTAATAATAAACTTATTGT